TTGGGTGTCAATTAAAATAAAACAACAGTTTGAATAACTTTCCTTCGCCAAGTGTTGTTAGCTACAACTTTACAAATAATTTAGACAGAACACTACACGTAGTTTGCTGTGAACTCAAACTCAAACAATATTTATTTCATTGGTAAGTATATTACACTTGAAATCGTCACATTGCTTTTTGTAATCCTTCTACAAGCATCTAATTTGAATGCACCATGAAGACAGCGAGTGAAAAATAATGCCTAAAATGTAAATTTCGTATTGAGTGTTAATTACGCCAAGAACTTCGAGTATATAACCAGAAATAGAGATGAAACAAGGGCCATCCATCCCTGGCCACTCATCAGGCAAATGGGCCTTATATTTCACTTTTGAATGTCAAATCTGAAATCACAAATTAGAAAACTGAAATAGTACAGCGCCACCAACTGACCTGCGTGTTACGTTTTTGTATATTCCAAAAATATTATGTATTTATTGTAATAAAGATAATATCTCTAACAATGCCGTGCTGTTCTATTCGGTGGTGTGGGAAAAACAGCAAAACATCTAATTACAAAACAAACGGAATCACATTTCATCGGTAATTAAATATGTAATTGTGCAATTTTCATCCGCTATAGCAACCCTCAAGTCGGTCGATTTGAAGTGAAACAATTGACGACACCCATCAATTGTTTCGAATTCGGAATGGCCAATTGGGGCGCAGTTATCACCGTAATAATTTGGCAGAATAGTTTCCAAACAAATTAAATAACATTTCGTCTCTATTTCGATTATATACTCGGTGGATTTTAATTACGCCAAGAACGATATTGGCTTTAGTATGTAATTCTGCAATTTTCTTCCTTTGTCGTGTTTCTCCAATTTCTATTGTATCATTGTCAGGCCACTACAAGGGCAAGGCGACTCGTATGCTACTTTTTCATTGCACGTCGGACAATAGTGGTTGGTATACTTGCAGCTGTCCCATAGGTACACAACAGGTGAAAGGAAAAAACTGAAAAAACAGAAAAATATATAGATTTTGCAGTGATTGCGCTGTTTTTCTTAAGCAGTAGAATACGAATAAGGATGATAACTCCGTACAAACGTCTGAGTACACGCGTTGCACACAGAGCTATGGCAAGCGCCCGTGTTATAAACCGGTGCTTTGTTAGGGTTGAGTTAATACCCATTAATGTCCAAAATCGAGATTATTCCACTCTATAGCCGTTCGCCATATAAATCTTGAAGCGTAACGCTTCGTGCGTATCTTTGGAATATCCACAATACAGGGGTGGAACCCAAGCCTACGCCTAGTCCCCCGGTGATGGAAAGGGGAAGGCGGAATTAAATCGTGTAATTCCATCGCACAGTCTCCGTGATATATCCTGTAAAATACTGATAAGTAGGCAACTTTACGGCGGTGCTCAAGAGAGAGTTCTGCAGCTTCGCCTCCACTAATTCCGAGTCACCTATACGCCTCTTGGCACGGTTGTCAATTAAATCCAAAGTGGCCAGTTCATATGTCGCAGAGCCATCCCAAAGGTGGCAGCAGTACTCCATGCACGATAGGACTTGTGCTTGGTACAGATGAAGCAACTGTCCCGGTGTAAAGTAACGCCTCACCCTGGAAAGGATCCCAAGTTTCCTTGCTGCATTTTTGGCCATGGATTTAATGTATCTGCCGAAGTTCAAATTGGACGACAGGTCCATTGCAAGTAGCTGGAGACAATCGGCTATCGGTATGGATATGTCACGAAAAGTCGGAGTCAGCTTAAAGGGACTCTGTTTTGTGGAGAATAGACATGCCTGCGTTTTGCTAGCGTTAAATTTGACAAGATTGGCATTGCCTCAATCGGAGACTGCCTGGAGTGTCAAATCTAAACGGCTAACCATGGACTCTCGACAAGATTGGATTTCCTCTCCACTGACCTTTGCATTGGTCAAGTACCTGTCTACAACTGTGCTGTCATCAGCATACGCAAAGGTACCTGGAATTAACATATCATTGATATGCAGCAGAAAGAGAGTTGCAATCCTGAGGAACTCTCATCTCTCTCAACTCTCATCTATCGCCATTTGTTCGGAAGAGTAGCCTTCTAAGACCACTCGAATCGAACGTTCGCTCAAGAAATCCGAGATCCAATTGCAAAGGTCAGTGGGAAGCCCATAAGAGGGAAGCTTACTTAAAAGTCCAAAGACACCGCAAGTGCTTCGATGCGTTCTCTGTACCACCGTTGTATCACCCTTTTTGTCGCCATTCTCTACTAAATTTCCGAAGCACACAAAATTCTGACCAGTTATATCATTGAAAATCACGTGTAACCTAACAGATTGTAAAGCATAATATTTGTAGAAAATACAGGCCCTTCTGGGGTACCTAAGTTCCTTTTTTACCATGTCTAACCTGTTAACCTGTATGTAATTTTAGCAGGGAGTGTTTTTATACGATTGGACCTGTATTGATATCGTTATTTTGTTGTGTTACAGCCTTTACGCCTTTACCTTTCTCCCTGTTCTGCCGTGTCAGGCGTATATCCGTTAACTTAAGATAGATGAGTTACGGGTAACAACTCTGAATCGTATTTCTTCTACCTACTGCATCCACCCATCAAACACTTATTTGTATAATGTCCACCAGTTCGTTGAAATTGACTGTCACTCAACTCGTGTAACTTTGATTTTGCCATAGTCAATTATGGCTAAATACTACATCTAAAGTTACAATATATGAGCGCGACAAGTTTCGCACACGACGACCGAAATGTATCTCAGTTAACTAAAGTTACATCAGTTAGCCGTGACTGAGTTTGTATGAAGATTTGGAAGACCTCCATCTCACTAGATGAAAAATAAAGACGAGGTCGTCGATGAAGCATAAACACTTTGAAAAGGCTCAAGTTACAGCGTTCAGGGAATAAGTCTGCAAGCAAAGAATTCTGCTTCATAGCCGTTTGCCATAAAAATGTGGAAGCGTAACGCTTCGTTTAGCTAACGCTTCGCTAACTATATAATCCCCCGAGGGACATGTCCAGATCATCGCATTAATTAAATTTCCCATGTCATACGACCAAAATATTTACCATATAAATAAGAGCATGCAGGCAAAGAAATGGTTCATGCAACCTGTCTCCTTCACCACCAGGGTATTAACTGTGCTACCGCAGAATTGACAGACGAGGAGCTTTCGATCAGGCAGTGGAAGTCCCACGACGTTGTCGTTGTTTCCTGGAAAACAAATAAATCTAGAATGTCCACTGAGAAGTTATATGTAGGCTGTGTTCAAACTACAATTGACCATACCACACTTCTATAAATCAAGAAGACTGCTAATCTCCATTCTTCAGATCATACCTTTGAAAAAGGTCACAATTCCTTCTTTTATCGAGATGGCGCTGATCAAATAGCACACCCCGGACACTCCATACATCGATCGAAAGTTAGTTACCTACTACTGCTACATACAATAAGGCGCTATCTGCACACGCGTAAATGTGTGCGTGAAGTGGCAGGTTTACCCATCACTATCTCGTACTATTATGTCGTTACGTGGTCAGAGCGGTAACTAAATATAATTCTATTAATACAACGTAATAATGACACATGTTCGTTAGGTATTTACATCGATATAATATTATAATTTTCATTAATTCAGTAACTAGAATAATATTGAAGATTGATTTAAAAAATATATTAAAAGCACTTAAAATTTTATATTTAGGACAGCTACTTTTAAATAAGGTAACCAAGGTATTTGAATTTGCGTGTCCAAGTTTATTACCTACCTAGTTTAATTAGGTATATTCACTACGTAACATTTATAGGCAGTACAAATTGAAAATTCGAGAACTCCTGTCACGAAGCTATGGCGCCTCATTATATTGATACAATAAATCTGTATTATATGTTACAAACCACTGTTACAAACTAATTTATAACGTAACGCTTCCTAATATGGGTAGATGGCGCCAATCCTAAACAAAATAAGAGAATAGCCGGCACTATTCATAAAAATCTGTGCAATAAGCGCCATCTAGTTGATTTGTTTGTTATCGCTAGAAATTGGAGTAGTTTTGATAAATTGCCGCCTGTTAATGTAAAACAAATTATTTACAAAAATTATATTTTCGTATTCGTAGCGACATCTGGTGAACCAATATCGTTTATAATAATAATACCGTTTATAGTAATTGTAGTCTGCCCAGGCACAATAACATCAGTTTTAGGGGGTTCGACTGGTCTCTCTGGCGGCGGTGATGTCTCCACAGTATTCTCCTGTCTCTGTCTGTCCTCCTCACGGTTTATCGAGTCATAGGAAGGCGGTGCAGGGATATTTAACGGCGAAACGTCGAAGTCATTGGGTGTATCGCCACCGTATATGAATGTTTCTTTGGACATGTAGTGGGGAATGCTGGAACTATGAGAGGTTCCAGGTCCTGAAATCGAATGAAGATAAATCAGAACGTTTCTACCGTAGTCCAGCTGCCAATTGTATGTATTGTTGATGCTCTAAGATACTCGCTCCTTTTTTGAAGTCGGTTAAAAACAGATGCCTACAAAGCGTCAAGGTCGTCATGGCAGACACCGAAAAAATATGAATAACATCTTCCTGAATCATTAGTGACAACAAGATATTAGAAAGCATGCACACTAGTGAACAACAGCATGTCTTACCAGAAGATCCAGGAGAAGCTAGACTCAGATAATCCGGTCTGGCAGGTCCACTGCGCGGAGTGGTGGTCCCAGGGCTGGAGTCAGGGGTGTCAATCCGACGATCCTTAAACGGGTCATAGAAGATTGTTTCCTTGAAAAAGAATACAAAATAAATGTTATTTGTTACCCTAGTATAATAATACAAGTATAGTAACTCCATACAAACGTAGCAGCATGGCTTGCATGTGCGAACGCACACATTCGCACAATCTTTCAGTCCACTCGTAAGAGTCAATACTACCTTAGCTCGAATTCAATTTTTTCCGTACTAATCAAAATCAAATCAAATCAAAATCTTTATTTCAGACAAGATATCCATAAAGTGTTAGTAACAAAATCCTTACCATCTATGTTAATAAGAGTTATATAAAATGTACAATGTACCCTTATCCACCTATACAATATGGGCCCATCGTTCCTCTCGGCCACTGTTCGAAGAATGCCATTGGCGCTGCCCCGCACCCTGCGCATCAGGGATGCCACCCGCTTCCGCAAAATGGAGCTAAAACCGTCCACACGCGCCTCGGCAAACATTCCTGAAGCGCTGCACCCCAACAGCATTCTGAGGGCGTCATTGTACTGGACGCACAGGGCGCGATACGCTTTCTGTGTATACTTGACCCACAAGCTGCACGTGTAAAATGATTGGCAATATGCTTTAAAAAGCGTGAGCTTCACGTTTGTAGTACAGCGTGCAAACCTGCGGGCCAACATAATGCAGGAGCTCTAATGTTTCATTTAATTCTAATATTTATTTATTTATCTGCTGGTGAAATTACAGGCACATGAGTCTTATCAACTTAAGTGTCAGGGTGACGGGCGCTGTGGCAGTGCCCATCAGGTCTTTGTGTTTTAAAGCTCTGAGTGGCACTGCAACTGTTATGGACAGGCGTGTCGCTTACCATAAGGCCCACGACTTATTCGTCACGTTCATTAGCATTATAAAAAATGTATATGAAAATTTACCTGTACAAAATCAGGTTCCTGATCAGGCTCCCTGGTCATAGAGACTCCACTGCTTCCTTCATCTGGTATGTCGATGAAGACCACAGGTCTCTGTTCGAACTCCTTTGAAGACGATGGATTTGGTCCTGGTGATCGAGATGGTTCAGATGACTGGAAAAAATATCATTTTGTTTTATTTTTCACTCTACTTGAACCAGTTTCTGTTGCAAAGACAGAACATTCGAGAACTTATAAAACGCCTTTAAAATTATATTAAACAAAAACTGACCTCAAACCTTCGTGGGATTACATCTATTTGCCATGTTTTTGCGCCAAAGTGCGCGAAAACGATTTATTCCCTAGTTTGCCACCCTAAGAGGTGAAATATTTTACTTTCGGCTATAGAAACGTATGCCACACACACAGAGCGGATAGAATACTTAAAATCAATTAGCGGCAGAAGTACGGTGCTCTCTTAAATAACTAAAACGATTTAGTGGAATATATTGAAGCCTGTGGGGTCATGACCAATTATACAAATATTTGTATAAATACAGCTGCAAGGGGCGACGTAGAGTTGTTAAAATCGCCAAATATTAATTAATTACTTTTCGAATTCCGGATTTCCGGATGAAAGAAACTCTTCTCTTTATTCTATTTACGAAGAAGGCTGTCAAAAATGGCACTGTTTCGTCTTCTTTAAACATCCAGTAGTTTTTGTGAACATTTTCCTTTTAAAATATTAGTACGAATTTATGAACATCTGTTGTACCGTGTCTTTGAATTGAAATAAAATATTTTTAGAGCGCGAAATAAAAAATTTGAAAATAAAATAAAATTTGAAATTATTTTTTTTTTTCAAAAGTTCTTCTAGCAAATGTTGCCGTTCCGTCAATGTGACCGTCAATATGCGGTATCTAAAGCTAGGGAGGGGCGGAGAATGACCATTCTCGTTACTTTATTATTCTCTTTTGGAGAAAGGTCCGTTATCTACTACATTTTTTACATGGCACCATTAAAATTACTTAAAAATGCAACTTCGGTTTTCCATTTACCATTTACGTAAAACCATTTCCGGGTATCTGGAATGCGAAACAGTAATTAATTAATATTTAGTAGTATTAACAACTCTATGTTGCTCCTTGTAGCAACGTATACGCGTATCTATACTAACCTCCCTCCGTGGCCGAACGCTCCTTGTAGCAACGTATACGCGTATCTATACTTAACTGCCTCCGTGGCCGAACGGTTACCATGCCGGACTGCCACGCAGAGGTCCCAGGTTCGATTCCCGGGCCGGGAGAAATATTTGTATGACCTACATTTATTTCTCTCGTGAGTTTGGGTGTAATTTGTGGTTGTCTATGTGTGTGTCCATGGCACCCGCGACACAGGGTTTCCCTAGTGCGGGGCTATGTTGAGTGTGTGCGTTATTATTATTATTATTATTATTATTATTATTATATACGTGAAACACCTTTTTCCGACTATTGGTCTCACTGATTAGACCAGCACCCGTGACCCATGTTGATAAACTTACTTAAAACAGGGACTGTTCACGAGTACACAACTGGAAACTTCTCTTCGTCAATGCTTATGTCAGTGATTTGAATTGCGGGAATTAATTTATATAAACTATGGACGTTTTCTTAATATGGACGTACCCATTTCGTAATCAACGAGTATAAAATTTCTTTCTTTACTGTTTTTTTTCTAAACATTCCATATATTTTGTCAAATGTTTCTTTTTAAATGGCTAAAGCATTTAAATACATAAGTAACTCAACTACAGTAGTATACGTTTATATTTAGTAGCGGTAGAGCTCTTTGTGAGAAGTTCGTCCGAGGAAGTGCTGCCACCTTAAAAATTTCTGCCACCAAGCACTAATGTCAGCATTACTGTGTTCCGATTTTGAAGGGTAAGGGTGCTGGTGAAATTTTAGCCACATGGCACTTATCAATTTAAGTCTTAAGGCGAAGTGGCAGTTAGCTATGGGACGATTTGTATTTTTTTAAACTCGAGTTGACTCGACTCGGTGTCTGACACAGCAATCGCGAGTCACGTGTCTTCATATGAACTCAAACCGACGATTCACCGAGTTGGGCACAATCGGCCGGCCGACCGCGACTCGAGCGTGCTCCAAAGGTCGCTGAACCAACCGAGTGAGAACGAGTACCCGATGCGCTGTATGAATGGAGCATTCGGCTCAGCGGGCCGGGTACCGAACCGAGTTGGCTCGAATTCATAAAAAAAGTAGCTCAAGTTGACTCGTTGTGGGTGTAACTCGACTCGCTCATCGCTAGTGGCAGTTCCTCTCAGATCTTTGCGTTTTAAAGCCCTGAGTGGCACTGCAACTGTTATGGACAGGCGTGTCACTCATCACCAAACCCACGACTTGCCCTTTACAGGTCCCATGGTCACGGTTGACTAGTAATGATGGTTTGTTTGAAAAATATCACATATATAACAATCGCGAAAACCTAAGAACTCGATATGCCAATGTACGCAAATTTCAATAAATATTCAAAAATAATGAGCTCCGAGAAGTCCCGGGATTGGTAGAAGGGAATGTCTACGTTATTCTTTAGTTTAGCTAAATTAACTCCCTCGATTCCGGTCCCTGCTTATGATCTAAAAAAGGTATATTTAACCGACTTCTGCGAACTTGGCAATGTTTGATTTAGACATAAAAGTTGTTGCTTTCATCATATTTTGCACGAGTGAACGTAGGAAATTGGGTTTCCGGTATGATGTACCACTGATGGTGTTAAAATGAAAATTCTATGATTGATCTGTGTGTTTTGTGTAACACGATATTAGATCATGTCAAAGTAATATGAAGTTTATTTATTTGATAGTTTATTGTACAAGGAAAAAAATACAAAAGTCACTATTAGGTAATACAAGGAAAATACAAACAAAAGTATTTGGTTTTTTCTAACAGAAATTTCTTCCTGCAGACCAAAATCCAGCACACTATAGCTAAGAGAACGTGAATAGTGAAATAATAAATAAAATATAAAAACAATACAATAATATTAAATTATTATAAACTGACTGAGAGGGATGGAGAGAAGCATGTTACACATCGAACTGAGAGACAAATGGAGACTCCAGAATTAGGAAGGCAACCAAGGTGACAGATGTCACAACGAAAATCCAAAGACTGAAGTGGCGCTGGTCAAAAGATGTGACACATTGGTATCCAAGAGATGGAAAGAGGTATAGAGAAGGCCAACAAGAAGGTGGGAAGACGATCTGCCCCGAGAATGGCGCCGGTCGGCATAAGACCGTTGCTTATGGAGAAATATAGAGAAGGCCTACCTGATTAGAAGAGGACAACCTGATTAGAACCAGAACCGATGCTGATGTTAGAATTAAGAATTATTACTGTTAGAAGTAAGCATTAGGTTAAACTTAGAATTAATTTAGGAGTAATCAGTGAATAAAGGTTATTTTTATTTATTATTATTTATTTATATAAATACTTAGATTATTAACACATATTTCATAATACCTAAGATATGGATGGAATAGTAGATATATAATGCTCCTTAACTCTCATTTTTTAAAATAGCTAACGATTTACTTTTGTGAACAGTAATAGGAAGTGCATTCGAAGGCCTGACCAGTGAAGGAGTGAGAATAGAAAGCGGAATTGAAGCATGGAAAAGATAACTGGGGCCTAACAATAGAGCGACAGGGTTTATCTTGGGACCTAAGAAAGTATGCTCTTTCAGAGTTATGTAAAATATTATAAAAAAAATATTTTAATATTACAATGTTTTCTACCATGATTATAATCAAATTACACCCAAACTCACGAGAGAAATAAATGTAGGCCATACAAATATTTCTCCCGGCCCGGGCTCGAACTCTGAGAGGCAGTCCAACATGGACACCGTTTGTCCACAGAGGAAGTTTTTTTTTTTTATGAAATTTCTCCACAAGTTTGTTATATAATTATAATTGTTACTCAATGTCATAGATCACTAACTCGAGAGACTGAGGACTGCTAATCACGATACAAGACAGCATAGTTGGGTATTTAACACTTATTGGTACAACAGCCCCGTAGTATGCCGCCTCGATAAAGCTATTATATCCACAATTAGCTGTCAAATTAGAGTGATAAAATGTTATCGCAATAGCGAACATGGCGAGCACCGTGATGTCTAGACATGTGTCGAACGTGATCGATCAAATCAAAATGATTTGAACAGCACCTGTGGCCCGACAACCCGGGTTATTAGCACTACAATTCTTTGTGGGTGTTCGGTTTTTTATCCGTAATGAAAAACCACAAAAAATTCCTTCGATCCGACGTGACTCGAAGCAGGCTCTGTTTCCTAGCCAGTCTGCCGAGTAGCCACATTGGAGCGTATTAAAAATATACCCAACTCGTGCTTTGCCTTGCCACGAGGCATCATCAGGTGTTGTTGATTGTTCGACACTCGGTCGAAGAAATTCTTCGAAAGTGTAATTAAATCCCCTTTAAATTAACATGGTTTTCCGCAAACAAATGTCTCAATCTATATATTTAGGATTAATCAGATTTAAGTGAAAAGAGCAGGTGAGAAATTGAAAATCAGTCAAAGAAAATTGCTAGAGAAGGTATTAGAGAAATTTGGAATGGCAGATTGCAGAAGAACTTGAGTCCCATGGAACGAAAAGAAGAAGAAACTGTAACTGATGTGCCTTATCGAGAATTAATCACCCAGCAATGGGTGAAGTCAGGTTGTATATGATGATGATGGTGATGACACACTCGTAGCCCCGCATTAGGGAGACACTGTGTCGCAGGTGCCATGGACACGCACATAGACAATCACAAATTACGCCCAAACTCACGAGATTAATAAATGTAGGCCATACAAAATCCGATACCTCCTACGTAACTTGTAGTAAGTAAGATACCATTTTTTGCTTTGTGACTTAAATATGCCCTTTTTTAAGTATATTATAGGTTCCATATTTAAAAGTAAAGAAGTCACATAGTGTTATATTTACTTTCAAACAATATACCTATAATATACATAAACAAGTATATGTTTAAGTTAAACACATTGACTTACAATTATATGGACGTCGGGTCCGCGCTAAAAAGTGTCCGAACTTATAGGGCGTTAAAATCGTATACAGAGCGTTATTCACGCTTTAGTCTTCGTTT